GACTAAGCTTTGGCGGCCCGGTGTTCACCCATTTTAGATATAAATTCTGATACATTCGCCCCATTTATGACCCGTCTCAGTACAATTTCTCTGCCACTCTTCTTCACGTCTGGACAAAGGTGAAGTTGATCCATCAATACTTTGTATATAGATTTCCTTGCAGAAGATCGCGGATACTTTGTGATTTCCAGCGGTGGTATCTGCAATGACGCAGTTACAGTGTGCGTTGTATAGAAGGATGAAGGTCTCATTGTCTAGAAATATAGTTTTGTTTCCACTTATTTCAATAAATTATTGTCCATTGATCTGAGGCTTGTCATTCGGCTTTATACCCTCCCCCACCCCCTGGGACCATTTCTGGATGTGTCTGCGCTTCTCCTGGTTGCTGTATTGGGGGAATAGGAGGCGGGATCTCCATGTGTATGATGGTTGGTGGCTGCCATTACCTCAGCGCCATTTTCCAGAGATGGGGATTCCAGAACGTTATATTTATCACACAATATTTTTTTTTGTTTAAAAAACGTTTTTTATTCTATGATGTGCCATTCAAGTGTGCGGAGGAGATGTGTGAGGGCCTGGGGCTTAGATTTGCCCCCTTTATACAGGAGGAGCATAGCTTGGCTATCTGCTCTGGAGAAGGTCTATGGGGGCAGGGTAAGATCAGGGTGAGCAGGGACAGGGCCACAGGGAGCCCCTCTCTCCACAGAAAAAGACTCCAAACTCCTATAAATAGTGAGGAGGACTATGGAGGACTAACATGTTATCATATTAATGGTACAATTCATCCCTAAACACAACTGGTGTCCACTGACCTCCCAAACCTCCAAAACTATTCTGCTCCCCTGGATACCTTCCAAAAACAACGGCCCATACTATGTCCAATACTGTCCTCTCATTAACCATTTGGGAGTTTCCCAACGATACTCCTTCAAACTCCCCCCATTGCCCACTGGTCACCGTTATTGGGTGCAGCTTTATTCGAGCCGGGTCTAAGGACCGGTTTATTTTCACGGCGGACCAATAAAGTCCAATAATGAATTCTCCAATGGAGGTACCAAAACCTTGAAGATACTCGAAGATCTTCGGCTATCCTCCATCGTATGACCCTCAACCCATAAAACATTAGATATCACCTCAATGTCCACTGTATAGAATGTGTGCAAAGACCACCAGACCCCGATCCCGAGCAACGTTTCCGAGACGTATTCTCTTCTATCTCAAACCACCATTAATGGTGACGGAGGAGGAACTGCAGGAGAGGCAACGGTAGACATCAGCCCACCAAACATATAGAAGACCAGATATAAGGTGACGGTGAGATGGTATGTAGAGCCCTCTAGTCGTGTATATGTCCCAAGTTGTTTTTGGACAGATGGAAGACACGTGTATGGTGGACATGCCCTAAATCTGAGGATTCTCGATCGTTGCGCAATGAACCGCTTCCACATATTGTGAAGGAATCTCAAAGATCGACTTTGCAGCTAAAATCACTTCAGCCAAATCTTGGATTTTGTTCTCAGCAGACACGAAGTGCTCCTCAGGACACGGCCCACCCAGAGCGCCCACTCCAATCAGCCGACTGGCTGGTAACAAACAGCAACCACTGAAGCAATCGCCAATGTAACCTGCACCACCTAGCTAAGCGGCCAGTATGAGGCCACGTGGGCACCACCTAGCTAAGCGGCCAGTATGAGGCCACGTGGGCACCACCTAGCTAAGCGGCCAGCATGAGGCCACGTGGGCACCCTGCATACAGCGCCTGTGCAGACTAAGCTTTGGCGGCCCGGTGTTCACCCATTTTAGATATAAATTCTGATACATTCGCCCCATTTATGACCCGTCTCAGTACAATTTCTCTGCCACTCTTCTTCACGTCTGGACAAAGGTGAAGTTGATCCATCAATACTTTGTATATAGATTTCCTTGCAGAAGATCGCGGATACTTTGTGATTTCCAGCGGTGGTATCTGCAATGACGCAGTTACAGTGTGCGTTGTATAGAAGGATGAAGGTCTCATTGTCTAGAAATATAGTTTTGTTTCCACTTATTTCAATAAATTATTGTCCATTGATCTGAGGCTTGTCATTCGGCTTTATACCCTCCCCCACCCCCTGGGACCATTTCTGGATGTGTCTGCGCTTCTCCTGGTTGCTGTATTGGGGGAATAGGAGGCGGGATCTCCATGTGTATGATGGTTGGTGGCTGCCATTACCTCAGCGCCATTTTCCAGAGATGGGGATTCCAGAACGTTATATTTATCACACAATATTTTTTTTTGTTTAAAAAACGTTTTTTATAGGGATTCACCGAAACATATCGGCCAAAAATGGCCCTTTTGGCTAAATGCCGAAGGTGTAATTTTCCTGTCGATACATTGCGCATCTCTGCATTCTTTCCTCCCCGCTGAGCGCTGCTCTTGGTGTCCCAGCGAGGAGGAGATAAACTGTGACAGGCCGAGGCCGGCGTCTCTCCTCCCACACAGCGCTCAGCCTCCTATCACAGTCCGGCAGACCGGTGTGGGGGCAGAGACCGCCAGCGCTTTCACAGGAGGCGGAGCTCTCCTCCCTACACCGCTCGATCAGCCTCCTGTGACAGTTGGTCAGAGAGGAGAGCGGGTACAAGCAGTCAGGGATCGCTGAGTGTTTGTAGATAATTGAGGACAGAGTACGGTTACTATATCCTCAATTATGAATGAATGGGAAGTGATCTACATCACATCTACATCACTTCCTGTCCATTCATGATTGTGGTTATAGTAAACATACTCTGTCCTCATATTATGAATGATCAGGAACACTCAGAGGATTCCTATAACAGGGGCTGCAGTCAGAAATTCACACAGCGGAGATCTGGCCGCTCCGCCCAGCAGTCTGACACCAGTTACCATTCCGCACTCTGTAAAGTTGGCCCCCGCACTATACAATCAGATGGTACAATCTCCTTCACATTGATCTAATAATATAATATAAGGACAGACCTAATCAATACATTCGATTTGTAGTACAATCGGGCAGGACCCTCGCACTACGGTACTGAGAAGGGATGTCCTGGAGCTGGAGAGAGTCCAGCGGAGGGCAACCAAACTAATTAGGGGGATGGAGGACCAGAGCTATGAGACAAGGGGGAGGGGATGGAGGACCAGAGCTATGAGACAAGGGGGAGGGGATGGAGGACCAGAGCTATGAGACAAGTGTCTCTGAGGGCTCCGTGTGTCTCTGAGGGCTCCGTGTGTCTCTGAGGACTTTGTGTCTCTCTGAGGGCTCTACGTGTCTCTGAGGACTCTGCGTGTCTCTGAGGGTTCTGCGTGTCTCTGAGGGCTCTATGTGTCTCTGATGACTCTGTGTCCTCAATCTCTTTTTCTATTTTAAAAAGGGAAATATCAGTGGGCTGTTTAGACCCCTAATATTTACCCGCAGCCCCTAAAAGTAAAGTAAAAAATAAAATATTTGAAAAATTTGAAAAAATTAAAACAAAAAACATTTTCGGTTTCGGCCTGTAATTTCCATTTCGGTGACCTCTAGTTTTTTATATAACAGAACCATCCAATGTCCCCAGTAAACACCTTATACAGGAAGGGATAGGTATAATTATTCTGTGACAGCCACCGCTTTATGTATGTGCACTTACCTCCCTGAGACTCATCTGTACGGATAGTATGACAACCTCCTGAGTTGGTGATAGTCACAGATAATGTCCAACTCGCTAAAAAGACTCGGAGAAGAATCCAATGCAGTTTATTTGCCTTCACAATACAGATGATGTGATTCCTTGTCATTAGAGGTGGGAACGGCATTCCCATCTTTGCCTGTAACAGGTAGAAGGAGACCCTGTAACCTCAGCGAGGGATGAAGATAGAAAAGGAAGCACAGAAGAAAAGGCTGGGAAGACGATACCAATGTGCAGAAAACAGCAGGGTTGAAGTGGAAGATACCAAATATCCACATGCTCCTCGGTGTAATACCCCTCATGGCCAGAGATGGAACACAGCTGCGGAAATCTGTGAATAAGTCAATGGGGTTGAATAAACATATAGCAACAGTAGCAAGTTGCAATGTTATCTGCACATCACAGGTTAAGGTCTTTGGGTTTGAATAGCTCGGTCTTACTCCTCGGGGGAGCTGTGTGTGCAGTTATTTTGTTATTTTCTCTCCCCGTCAGAGCCAGTCCTATCTTGTGCCTGAGCTCAGGGCTGATAACTGGCTCTGTATGGAAGACAGTAAAAATGGTCCTATGAGTTTTCACGTGTGATCATGACAGCACCTCTATTATATGATCATTTTTTTAAAGATATCCGTTTTATTAGCACTGGAGATGGGACAGCCGCTGAGGAGGCCTGACACAAAGCTGGACAATTCTGACAGGGAGAGAATACAAGGAGTAAATCATTAAAAACAACAAAAGCTAAAACTGCTCTATTATAACAGTTCCGGTGGAGATTCAGATTATTACAGATGCTTATTGGTGAAGGGACCGGGTCACCGCTCCATTGATAAACTATCTCATCACTGAGAAATGGCCCACAGACATGACTGACCTACAGAAGGATAAGACTGGGTGAGTCTTCCCACAATTATTGGAATCATTGAGCTAGTGCTGGGTAGTCACATGGTATCAGAAGGAGAATAAAGTTCTACTGAACCATCATGTCACCATCATACAATGTTATTGGAAACATGCAACTGGTGCTGCCAAAGGGGCCAACTTTGTCTCTGCTCCACCGCCGGCTTCCAGCCTGGAGATCATATAGAATAATAATTCAAGCTGAGACGATGGGAGGCCGGGACATTCAGCCTCCAAGGGCTTTCCCGGTCCTTCACTGATGAGTACCTGTGTGCGTGTTTGTGCTGGAATCATTTTTTATGGTGTTTTATGACGGCTGTAGACAAGCGATGGCGCTCACTCTGACAAAACTGTCAACTTAGAATATTGAAATGAGGTGTTTTCAGGAATCACTATCCCAGAGATTTGTGCCCCCCCCATCTCCCCACCCCCCCCCCCCCCTGGCACAGTAATACATCATCACTGGAAGGTGATGTGATATTCGGGGTAGGCCTGGATGTCATTAAATATCACAAACATTGAAGGGTTGTGGATGTTATCGGTCACACTGTCATACAGGTCGAGGGGATTGGCTGTACTTTTGGCAGGAGGTGTTATCATCCCAGCTCTTCCAGGACAGTATTGTCCGGTGAGGACGCGGGCCAGGTACATGTGTTTCTGCCCATTTGCATCAGGTTTGGCGAATTTACTGCTAGCAGAGTAACTTGCATTTACTGCAAAATATGTTCCGTTTCCAAAAGCAGCAGCTGTTTGGGAAGAAAGACATCGCACATTATTATCACTTAAAGAGAGAGTTCCAGAGAAGAGGAGCAGCAGGAGAGAAGACCTAGAGGTGTGAGTGAAGGGAGAAGACACTAAGGCCGAAATTCACACCGCATCCATTGGGCTGTATTTAAATGCAGGATGTTCTATTTTCACCAAATGCACATCAACACAGAAAAACAAGGTCAAGGTCAGTTCAAGGCATAAAATCAGTCATAACGCGTTTCAGCCAAAGTAGCCTTAATTATAGCTGTGATTATGGCCACTGTGGCTGAAACGCATATGACTGGTTTTATGCCTTGACCTGATTAGAAGATTTTGTTAAAAACAATCAGCACCGGGTTCCAGATCCTTATCTAGAATATAGGAAGGGCTGGCAGGAGCCTTTCTTGTGCACCGGTGTCCTATACAGTGATAATGGACAAAGGGGGTAGAGCACTTTGGTTTTCTTCTGCCCATTTATTAAGCATCTGTTAAAAATTTAGCCCAATGGACATGGTGTAAATGGCCACCTCACAACACACCGGACATGACAAGATATTCATACTGTACTAGAGAGTAAATTAATGATATTAGTGAGATATTAAAGTACAGTTTTGGATAGAGTGGGGGAGGGTATAGCCTCTGTCAGAGTGATTAGGCTGTAGGGGTCTGGTCTCTGCTATAGGCAGGTATACCAGCTGGGACTAAGAGTCCTTGATGAATGCAGACAACACTCCAGTGGGCCATAAGTTGGGTCTTTGAGTCTTCGTATCGGAAGAGAAGAGAGTGCCATGAAGTTTACATATACAGTTTATTTGGTGCAGAGTTCTAAGAAAACTCCAATGTGTTTCAGGGGTTTAAAGAGCCCCTTCATCAGGGTGATAGACTTTTATAAATCAACAATATGTAATTGGACTCAAGGCTCCATCTCAAAAAGGTATATTGGAGCGCGGAGTCCCCGGTATCTATAACCATATCAATCATAAATTACAAGTCAATTAGCTTTAGACTTTTTTAGCTGAAGGGAAATCCTTAAAATACATATATTGAGGTGCAGACTGCTCCAATCTCTGGTTTAAGAAACTATTCTTGGATCCAGATTGCCTTCAGCTAAATTCATATGTTTATAGATACCATGGACTCTGAGCTCCATTAGACTTGTTTGAGAAGGAGCCTCAAGTCCAAGTGATTTATAAAAGTCTATCTCCCTGATGAAGGGGCTCTTTAAACCCCTGAAACAAGATGGAGTTTTCTTAGAACTCTGCACCTAATAAACTCTGTCTGGACTATCAAAAACCTATTGGCGCTCTCTTTTCTTTCCCTTGGTTAAAGGTGTCCCTGTTGGGAAGATTTCCTGCCATTCCCTGTTCTGGTGAAAACCTGAATGTCTGGGAGTGAAATGGTGTCACTAGGATAGGAAGTTAGAGGAAATCTCCCCACCCAGACCAGCGACAACAATGAGGACCTGTTGGAGATACGTTATGACATGTATATATAGAAGAGGCAGCTCTGGTGTACAACATGAAGTCAGCTGCAGAGTTACACAGTCAGGTTGGAATAAAATAAATGTGTACATTGACTCCAACCAAAACACACAAATAAAATAATGAAATACCTGCATTCTCAGAAACTGCAGTTGATCCAAAAGAATCCTTTTTAAAGATTGATTCGATTTGCTGTAAAAAAATCATTTTTTATTTCCTAAGGCAGGAGTAGTCAACCTTGGCATTCCAGCTGTTGTGGAACTATTAATGCCATGAAGCACTGCGAGATTCTGACAGCCGCAGGCATGACTCCCAGAGGCAGGGGCCAAGGTTGCTCACCCCTGGCCCAAGGCAATGAGACACCTTCTGAATCCTCAAGCTACATTGTTATTTCTTCATGATATTAATAGCCGGTTATATTCTGTGTATTCAGAAACACGTCCAGATATCTTATACACATTACAGGCTAATAAACTTTAATTGCTCCCCTGACATCTCTCACCATGTATCCCTGCGTAGCTCCGGTTGAATCCGTTATGATTGACATGCTGGATGGAGTTGGCGTCGGTTCCATGGAAAAGCTCTTTCTCGTTGTTGGTGGAGCCGTTCTTGGAGTCGATGTTCTGCTTCTTTATCTGGTAGTTGAGCCAGAGATCTCTGTTCTGTACACGCTGAATCTGGGGGGACAGGACATGGACGGGCTGAGATGTATACATTGTATATAATATATACCCAGTACACAGGAGAAGACGTAGGCTATGAGGAATACAGTGGCAGACCAAGTGTCAGACAGCTCCAACATCATGCTATGGGTGGAATATTCTACTGAAGGTTAAAGTGGACCTCTGCTCTTCCCCCCGTTTGACACTGCCACCATCACTGTATTATCTAGAGCAGTGTTTTTCAACCTTTTTTGTGCAAAGGCACACTTTTTTCATGAAAAAAATCACGAGGCACACCACCATAAGAAAATGTTTCTCCGACGGAAGACCCTGAAGCCGGCGGAGAGGTGAGTAACTTTGATCGATCAAAACAATTTTGATTGATCAAAGAAATTAACGATTTATTTATGGACGGCACACCAGAAAATATCTCACGGCACACTAGTGTGCCGCGACACAGTGGTTGAAAAACGCTGCTCTAGAGCACAAGAAACATTTCTAATTGTAATTATTTGGCCCTTTATTTTTTATTTTGCCTCATGCTAATGCAAATCTTTTCTTCCACGAATTCTAATTTTAACTCCTAGATGTCATCGATGATCAGCTTCTTCTCCTGTGCTTTTGTGACCGGTCCACCAGTGACCTGAGGATTACATTTTGTGTGGAAAGGAAAGAATGAATGGGCTTTTTTTCCTGAGCTCTTGAAAGATTTGGGGAATAAAAAACTATTCTAAGAGAGCTCCCTGGGAAAGCACTGGTGACGCAGTCTTTCCTGGAGGAAGACACTGGCTACATCACCATTCCTATTCAAGAACAAGAAATGGGATCCCAACAAACGTAAGTTAACAAATAATTATTTTATTTACAATAGGAAGTGCAGACAATTACGGATCAGATTGCAGAGCTGCATGAAGGGGGGATTTATGTTTTTGGGAAGAGGGTCAGTTTAATGCCTGTCTGTTCTGTAGTTCTCGGTCTTTATTCTGTTATTGGAGAGCCCACTTTTTTTCCTCTAGACATGTGCGATTTGTTTCAATCTAAATCGAAATTGGGGGGGGGGCTTATAGGAATTTGAGTGCCCTCTTTCATAAAGGGGGAACCCAGATGCTGCACTCCCTACATGAATGAGTAAGGGATAGTTACCTCTACCCATTCACCAAATGACAGCTCTTCTCCTGAATGTCAACATTCAGATCAGAGCTGTCATTTTGCGGGCAGTGATCGTCGGGATTGATCGCGACAGCACAGATTTTCTCTTTTGGCAAGTCGGGGATCGCCATCCATCGTGATTGATGTGGATCTACTTCTCTGGACAACGGGATTGACGATGGAATACATTGATAGACTTTTTTTTTTTTAATAACGGATTGGTCAAAAACCTGTTTGGTTTTAAACAGAAAAAGGACTTTTGTATAGGCTGTGGTGTGTTTGTTTACAATTTTACTGTATTTGGTGAATGAGTAGGTGTAATAATTACCCCTTACTCATTCATGGGGGGCAGCATCTGGGTGCACCCAGATTCCTATTGATTCCTATAATCACCCCTGCCCACAGACCCCC